CCAAACACTTGGGCCACCACCTGCTGCTTTCCCAGGTGCGTTAGCAGGGAGCTGGATTGGAAGCAGAGCAGCTGGGACTGGAAACAGCACTCTGGTATGGGATATTGGCATTAATCCACTCCGCCACAATGCTGGCCACGGTCCCAGAGACACTTAAACCTAAACCTATCTTCCTACAAACTAACTTGGCCAAGCATGTTCACAGCCGTTTGGATAGTGGCCCCAAAGTGGAAACTACACAAAGAGGAGAAGGAGTCAACACAAATAGGGGACACCACTCAGCCACGCAAAGGGACCCCTTGGGATTCACTCAGCAACACAGGTGAAGTTCAAGAACATCCTAATGACGGCAAAGAGCCAGATGCGAAAGAGGTTGTAGTCTTTGATTCCACGTTGTTGAAACTTGCAAACAGGCACAGCCGACCCACAGGGGAAGCAAGCAGAGCAGAAGCTGCCAATGGGGGAGTGGAGGTTAACCAGGGCCTTTCTGAGGGTGGAAGAAATGGTTTGTCTGGTGTCTGGGGTATAGGTTACCTGGGTGTATGCGTGTGTCAAAACTAATAGAACCGTACACTTAAGACCTGTGCATTTCACTGTATCTGCCTCATTTTTCTTAAAGTGTTGATTGTAAAAGAGATGAGGATTTTTGGCCTTTGAATGTCAACAATGGAACAGTGCCCAAAAAAGGAGAAAGAAACTTTACAGTCTTTTTTTTTTTTTTTACAGCCAGCCAGCCTTCAGAGACAGAGAGACAGACAGACAGAGAGAGAGACAGAGAGAAAGGTCTTCCATTTCCGTTGGTTCACCCTCCAATGGCCGCTGCGGCCAGTGTGCTGCAGCTGGCGCACCACACTGATCCAAAGCCAGGGGCCAGGTGCTTCTCCTGGTCTCTCATGTGGGTGCAGGGCCCAAGCACTTGGGCCATCCTCCACTGCCTTCCCGGGCCACAGCAGAGAGCTGGCCTGGAAGAGGAGCAACTGGGACAAAATCCATCACCCCAACTGGGACTAGAACCCAGTGTGCCGGCGCCACAGGTAGAGGATTAGCCTATTGAGCTGCGGCGCTGGCCTAAAACTTTACAGTCTTAAAGCCGCTGTAGAAGAAGGGGAATCTCAACAAACCCAAAACCAGGGTGCACATCTTTCCCCTCTCTCTTGCCCATACTTCCTGTTTTGGAAAATTCTACTCTAGGAGAATCAGACAGCAAAAACAGAAGGTGCAGAGACCAAAGAGAGAGGTCAAATCTAAGATGATACAAACTGGGGGTGGGGAGAGCAGATTTATAGACAGAGCATGGTCTCAGGAGACCTTGAGACATCCTGATCTCCGTGTCACAAGGCAGGAGAAGAGAGATTTGTAGACAGTGGTGGACTGTGGCCAACCTCAGGGCCCTGGGTCTTTCTCAAGGCATTATTTAAGGAACATTCCAGGAATTAGCTAAAAAACATGCCAAGGTCTAGTCCTACAAGACAAGCTGCAGCGTGTTATCTTAGCAACTGGTTCACTTAGCAGGGTTGGGGGTGGCTGTCAGGGTTACCCGCAGGGCAAGGTGGCACTGTGGTCATGTCCAGCTGAATCCCTACCCTTCCAACGTTGCCTCTCATCTCACTGGAGTCACCACCCTTCCGGGTGCTCAGAACAGACCTGGGGAGCTGCCCTTTCTCTCCCTCTTTGAATTCGACATCCAGCTGTGATGATTCTGTTTCATGGCGGATCCACGTTTTGCTGTCTACACTGCAGACAGCCACATGCAAGCCCCATCAGGTCTCCCCTTGATAGCTGCAGTCACTTCCTGGTGGTCTCCAAATTCACATGCTTCCCGTGGGTCTCTTCTCTCGGCCTGGAGTGAGCCTCTGCCTGTGGTCCAACCACGCGCAGCCCTGCACACGGCCTCTCCAGAGCTGCTGTTCTGCTCAGAAATAGCCACACCCCCTCAGGTGCTGTGCCTGCTCTGTGTGTTCCAGCCACACGAGCTGGCGTTTAGCTCCTTGAACGTGTCTCGCTCTCTGCTCCTTGCACCCTGCTCCACCTGGGTCACTGCAGCATATCCTTTGGGCACAGTGTGGAGGACCCAGTCTTGCTAGAAAGTACTTTCTCTGTGTGTTTGTATCTCTTCTGCGTTGAGACACTCAACACTTAGAGCAGTCCCTGAAATGTTAACTGGCACCTCCTGAATATTTCTTGAATGATTGAAAGACTCTTCCGTGATATTTGAAACTCTGGGAAAGTTCCTGTTACCTATTAAGTTCAAGAAAGAGCTGAATGAAGCAGTGATCGTAATAGCCACGGTTCATAGCATGTCCTGTGTGCCAGGAATGGTACTAAGAACTCTGTAGTATGTGATCTCCTCACTTTATCTTTGTTTTCCTGAACAGGACTCTGGGGCTTAGCAGGGGTCACTTGCCAAATGCAAGGAAGTGCCTAACCTACTCTGTGCTAGGGGCTCCTCCAGGAGTCAGAGTAATGGTACCAAAACAGACAATGTTTTTGTCCTTAGGGAGCTGGTGTCCTGGTGTGAGAAGAAAGATAACTAATTAAGAAGCAAGTTAGGGGCCAGTGCTGTGGCACAGTGGGTAAAGTTGCTGCCTGCAGTGCCGGCATCCCATAAGGGTGCCAGTTCTAGTCCCAGCTGCTCCACTTCTGATCCAGCTCTCTGCTATGGCCAGAGAAAGCAGTGGAGCATGGCCCAAGTCCTTGGGCCCCTGTACCTGCGTGGGAGACACGGAAGAGTCTCCTGGCTCCCTGCTTCGGATGGGTGCAGCTCTGGCCATTGCAGCCATTTGAGGAGTGAACCAGTTGATGGAAGACCTCTCTCTCTCTCTCTCTCTCTCTCTCTCTCTCTCTCTCTGCCTCTCTGTAACTCTGCCTTTCAAATAAATAAGTAAATCTTAAAAAAAGAAGCAAATAAATACATGGTATATAAGATAGCGACAAGTGAAATGGAGAGAATCAAGGGAGAGTGGTGGATATTACTAGGAGCTATTACATGTTGGGTGCTCAGGGAAAGACCTCTTGTCAGTGCTAAAAGAGCTCTGGGGAAGGAGCACTGCGTGCCAAAGGAACAGCAAGTGCAAAGGCCCTGAGGCAAGAGCATGTGTGATGGCCCCAAAGGATAGCAAGGAGGCCAGTATGAAAGGGACAAGAAGAGGCTGCAATCAGAAAGTGTGCAGAGGGGCATCTGGTCATCTGTAGCCTTCGGCTTTTACACTCTGAGCAGATGGGAGGGGCTGGGACGTTTGGAAGGAGGGGCACCATGGGCCAGTGGATTTGTTCAGGGCAGCATAGCAAAGCCATGTCAGAGTCAGGATTCTAACCTGAACCTTTCACTCCACAGTTCTCTCTTTCCTACAGATGAGCCTAGTACCAAAGACCTGGAGACTGCAGGTCTCAGGCTGCTGGCGTCCTGTCCTCATTGCAAAGCGTTTGCTGCTATTAGGAGCCACCAGTCAGCTGCTCACAGCAGGGAGCCCCTGCCCACTGTGCTGAGGACACACATGGGCCCCATCCGTCAGTTTATTCAACAAGTGTTTAGCTGGGAATTCCACTGGTTGACAGGAGAAATGTGGAGAATAAAACATATTCCTAGGGCAGGCATCCAATGCAGTGGTTAAGATACCACTTGGGAGAGCCTGGGTTCGAGTCCCTGCTCCACTTCCGATCCAGCTTCCTGCTAATGCATGTCCTAGGAGGCAGCGGGTGATGGCTCAAGTCCATGGGCCCCTGCCAACCCACATGGGAGGTCCAGATTGAGTTCTGGGCTCCTGGCTTTGACATGGCCCAACCCTGGCTATTGTGAGTGTTTGAGGAGTGAGCCAATAGATGGATGGAAGATCTCTCACTCACTCACTTTGCCTTCCAAACAAGTAAAAATAAATAAAACTTTTCTGAAAACAGGCCTGTTCCTGGCCTTCACAGTTTATTGGAGGAAAACCGTGAACAGGCCGTTATTCATCCACTGGTGATGGGAAGTGATGTGAATGAAGGAAAGAAATGGGAGGGGAACCTAATTCAGACAGGGAATCAGGGAAGGCTCCCCTGAAAGGTAACTAGGCTGGGCAAGGGGAGAGAGTAGGCATTCGTATGGCAGCAGCAGGTGCAAAGAGCCTGGGACATTCGATGGAGTGAAAGGATCGTGAAACCGGGTTGCAGGGAAGAGGAACTCGAGAAGTGATGAGGTTGTAGAGCTGGGCTTGGTTGCCCAGGCCAATGAGAGGGTCTGCATCTTTACCATAAAGATCACAGGCTGCTGCTGATCCATTTTAACAGCAGGTGGCTTGGTTGGGTGAGAAGCTCACTCTCACTGCGTTTGAAACCCAGTGAGGAGGGAGCCAATGTGGGTCATGCAGGTGAGAGGTGCTGGCAGGTGGTGTTGGTGATGGAAAGCACAGATGAAGTTTAGGGACAGGGAGGAAGGGGAAATGACAATTCCTGGGACAGGCATTTGGTGCAGCAGTTGTGACACTGCCTGGGACACCTGCTCCCTACATCAAAATTCCTGGATTCAAATCCTGGCTCCATTCCCAATTCCAGCTTCCTGCTAATGCACACCTTGGGAAACAGCAGGTGATGTCCTATGTACTTGGGTCTCTGCCACCCATACCGGAGATCTGGAAGGAGCTCCAGGCTGTTGGCTTGGACCTAGCTAGCTCTAGCTCTTGAAGGCATTTAGGGAGTGAAACAGTGGTTAGGAAGATCTCTCTCTCTCTCACCCCCCTGTGTTGCAGATAAAACTAAAACAAAGGAATAAATAAGTTCTTAGATGACAGGTCCTTTTGATGCATGAGAGACAGGGATAGGAATCGGAGATGTCAAGGGCTGCCATCAGGTTGGAGCTGTACAGGCTGCATATCGGTCACACAGCTCCTGTGGAGGAGGTGCCCATGTTGCAGGAACCACAGCATGAGTAGCCACTCATTTGCATCCAGTGTGCACAGGTGATGTCTTCCTCCAGGCGCATCTTCAAAGCCCTGTTAATGTTTTCTTTGTGCTTCCTCCTCCAGAGAGCCAAGATCGGTCAGGGAACCAAGACCCCAGAAGAAAAGACGACCAACACTATTTCCAAATTTGACAACAATGGCAACAGGGACCGGATGAAACTGACCGATTTCAACTTCCTGATGGTGCTGGGGAAAGGCAGTTTCGGCAAGGTACGGTACGGCGCGGCGGCTGCACCCACTCGCCCACTCCGGAAGGAACAGCTAGGGAGACTGGCACATGTGTTCCTTCTGCAGGAAAGAGCGAAAAGTGACGAGATCTGCACCGCGGTTTGGAATGAATGCTGTGCAGGAAATGAGTGGGGTGCTGGTCCCGAGCAAATCAGGCTGGGGAGGTGACAGCTAAGCTGAGAAACACAGGATGAGAGAGAACCCTCGGTGCATTTCAAGAGCTAGGAGAGGGTGTTCCCAGCAGAGAGAACAGCAAGTGTGAGGGGCCTGGGGTGCATTCTCAGTACCATAAGGTGTTGGGGCCAAAACGGCCCAAGTAGAACGAGGTAGCAGGATGTGAGGTGGCCGGGGCCTGATTATGCGAAGCTTTATGAGCTACGACGCGGAGTCTGGATTTTATTCACAGTGCAGCGGGAGCTGTTGAAAGTTTTCAAGCAGAGAAGGGACATGGTTAGATTTGCCTTTTAGAAAAGATCACCCTGGCGGCCAAGAATGGGAAGAGTTCCTTTCAATGAGCTGAAGGCTGACCTTGGGGCCCATAGAGGGATTCTGGGTGCTTTTCTAGTTGCTGTGACCGGCTGCTTTATTGAAGCAGGGGTTACGGTGTAAGTATTCCGGACTCGTTTAGCATGGTTTGGGGTCTTCCGATCCCTTTTGTGTGCCACAGACGTCTAACGTAAATCTCATCCCAAGAACGCAGGTGTGCGAGAAATATAAATTGCTTCTCTCCCCAGCTCTGTAATTTAAACCAAGAATTGGGGAGTTACCTTTGAATTCCCCTGTTTCCTTCATCGTCCTCCCACCCCCTCACTCCCACCATGTGCAATCCATTAACTGACCGAGACAGCTCCTCCGAAGTGCATCACCAGTGCACTAACTTGGCTCCATCTTCATTAATGCAACTCTGATCTAAACCATGTATACAGACTGGACCACCCAGGTGCTCTGAACTAGCTTCCCACACTCAATCGCATACCTGTGATCAATACACTTTCTGTTTGTCAGCCACAGTGATTTTTAAAAACTTGCATTAGGACAAATTGTTCCCCTCCTTAAAACCCCCTAAGGAGGGCTGGTGTTGTGGTACATGGGTTAAACATCGCCTGTGACACCAGCATCCCATATGAGCACTGGTTTGTGTCCTGGCTGCTCCAGTTCTGATCCAGCTCCCTGCTAATGTGCCTGGGAAAGCAGCAGATGATGGTTCAAGTACTTGGGTCCCTGCCACCCATATGGGAGATTCGGATGGAGCTCCACGCTCCTGGCTCAACCTGGCCTTATCTCTGCTTCTCAAATAAATAAAATATAAATCTTAAGAAAAAAAAACACCCACCAATGACTTTCCTTTGCAATTAGAATAAGTTCTCTACTATGTCCTTGGCTTCCATCACCGTTCGCAACCTGATCTTCTCTGCTTGGCTGCTGCTTCTCTTCTGTTTGTTCCCCTATCACCCACCATGTTCTGCTCACAATGGCAGCTCTTGGGTAACTGAAACACACAGAGCTCCTTCCTTGCTTTGCACTTTTTTGATGCTTTGAGTGGGTCCTCTGCACTCCACTTAGTTGTCTTCTGTTCTCAGAGAGCTTCCCTGACCACCCACTCGAGGTAGCCACTCATTTGTTCTTCGCAATGCTTAATCCTCTCATGGCCCCCCTCACTGGGTGATACTTTTCTTGTTTCTTTATTGGTTTTTCCCACTTCCCTGTGCGAGTTCTAAGGTCCCAAAGCATAGAGATCTTCTCTGGCATGGTCAACATTCACATTCCCAGTGCCTATGGATTGACTTCGCTTAGTGCCTGGACTGACTATGTGGCTTTTCTCTGTCTCTGGGTGGCCAGGTCATCTGCTGAGAGGGAATAAAAGTGACGGCCCAGAGTGTGATGAGCATCAGGGTGGAATGGGACTGGTTTGGAAGGAAACCCAGTGAGTCTGTGGAGCAGCCTGGAGGTCCCCAGGGCGGAGAGCAGGTGTTTGGTGACAGTCCACACCGCTGTGTGATTTTGGCTGGCAGCTACGAGCAGTCTGAGTGTGGGATGAGAAGCAGATGGTAGGTTTGCACTAAGGGTGCAGATGAACAGCACCCGTGAACAGAAGATGATGGTAATCAGGGATTTAGGGATTCTGGGAGAGGAGAGATGCCCACTGCAAATCCTCAGTGTGTGGCACATAGCAGGTGCTCAGTAAAAAGTGTGTTGAAATGAAGACTGAGCGGGGAAAAAAGTCTGGCAGGAGGCAAGTCATCCATCACCTGGGTAAGCGAGAATAAAGCTGGAGGCTGAGTGATGCAAACTGAACTATCTAAAATGTTAGGAAGAATCGAGGCATGCAGAGTTTGAAGATGGAGGAGCAGCCTTCCCAGTGACGAGGAAGAAAGTGGCTTACATGGAGAAGTGGCCCCAGTAAGCTGAGGTCATTGGAGAGTTTTCTAAAATTGAATTATGACACTGCATGTGTGTCTAGCTTTGTCTGAGCTATGATTCACTTACCGTACGGAGAACCAACTGGAAATGTCCATCCCAGTGGTTTCCAGTTTGACCCCAGAGTTGTGCACCCATCACCACAATTGATTTTAGAACATTTTTAGCACCCAGACAAGAAACTCCTCCACCATGATTGGTCTTTGCTTGTTACTCACCCTTCCAAACTGTATGTTTAATAAGCAATGTATTCATGTGGTTCACAGTTAAAATTACATTACAAGGATAAGCATGGTGAAGTCTTGCTCCTACCCAAGATCACGTCTCTCTGGGTCCCTCTTTGCTACTGGCTCCATATGGGAACATTTTTGTTCATTTGATTTGCATCTCTGCAGCCTCTCCGTGCTAATTTAACACTTTTATTCTTGTCCTTGTTAACTCAAAAGTCAGCATACTGTGCTCATGTTTTTGATCACTTAATAATATAGGTTGGAGAATTTTTGATGAAGGAATGAAAGTTCCAGAGGACCTTATGGAAGGGATTGGCACTGGGGGTGGGAGTGGAGTGGTGGGAGAATGGATCATTGGGGAACAGTGAGGAAATGAGAGAGAATAGATCATATGTTTCCATGGAAACTGTTATAATAATTGAGAGTTCTGCTCCAGACTGGGGATGTAGCATCAAATAAATCATAGATGAAAACAACAGCATGTCATGAAAGCAAAATGGAATAACAAACACCTCTGTGATCCTTTAAGATATATAGTAATGATTTGCAACTCAAGTTCTGCCTACCTTGGTGTTAAATTAATGCAGTTTTATATTTGAATGCCTACTTTGAACCTTTTGCGGTCTTGGGTAGGTATAGAGATCAATCCCCTACACAGAGCAACACGACAGCCGTGAGAGGCACCTGCCTTACCAAACATGAAAGAGATCAGCCTTGGGGGTTTTCACCTCCCCTCCCCCAGGTCTCCACTGTGTCAGGTTTGTCCCAGAAAAACATGCGCCGAAGCACTGTCATCATTTGCGGAGTGACTAGGGAATGACACAAGCATTTCGCTAAGACCTGTGAAAATGAGACAGGGGAGAAAGCAAGTGTGAAGACCATGGAGTTCCAGACAAATAAGCCCTGTTTGCAAAGCATTAGAACGGAGGAGAACGTGGAGAGTTTGCTTTCCTACTACACAGGTGAGGGTGTTTACCTGGCAGAGATCTTGGTAGAGGTGGGGCTTGTTCCCGTGTCTGGCTTACTTGGAGATGGCAGCCTTCTAGAACTTTTATTCCCGAGTGGTTGAATGTATTACTCACTATTACTCAGCATTGCTTCTTACCGCCTTACTCTTAACCCTCTATCTTTATGATGCCTTGAATCTTTAACTTCAGCTCTGCCAAACTCTACTCATTTCAAGCATGCAAATTATGCTGCATGTTTATAAAGTGGTCACGCTGGTGCTAGAAGTTTACTTGCACAGTAAACACAATACGGATACAACTCTTTGTTCAATAGACTTGATGCCTCCAACCCTAGTGTGTTGCCACAATAAAGAGCCACTAAATACTCCCAACTAGTTAATGCTAATAATACTTGCTCTCTGAGACATGTGGCCATGGAAATGAATCGGATAATCCAAGTGTTTTTTAAAAAGCATGCTGGAAAGTTTGAGTGGCGGCTTCCTGATTGTCTTATCACCCCAACCCTTGCCTGTGCGGCAGTGCTGTGTTGATGAGTGTGGATGGGGGTGGGAGTGGGACGGGGCTGGGGGAGGCAGCAGTGCTGTGGTGGACATAAACCTGCACACATGGAGAAACTCAAACTAAACAGCACAAACACCTGTATAAAATGACATTTACTGAACATGATCAGTAATCGAAAAAAAAAAATAAAAGTAGCCCAAATGTCCACTGATCATGTGATAGATAAAGTTATAAGGATGTATTCTTTTTTTTTTTTTTTTTGATAGGCAGAGTGGACAGTGAGAGAGAGAGACAGAGAGAAAGGTCTTCCTTTTGCCGTTGGTTCACCCTCCAATGGCTGCCGCAGCTGGCGCGGTGCGGCCGGCGCACCGCGCTGATCCGATGGCAGGAGCCAGGAGCCAGGTGCTTTTCCTGGTCTCCCATGGGGTGCAGGGCCCAAGCACCTGGGCCATCCTCCACTGCACTCCCTGGCCACAGCAGAGGGCTGGCCTGGAAGAGGGGCAACCGGGACAGAATCCGGCGCCCCGACCGGGACTAGAACCCGGTGTGCCGGCGCCGCAAGGCGGAGGATTAGCCTAGTGAGCCGCGGCGCCGGCCAAAGGATGTATTCATGATACATTCAAAAGACTGACATCCATGCCACACAACTGTTTATCTATGACTTTGAAAAAGTTTCCATGATATAATAGCAAGTGAAAATAAAAGCAAATCAAAGAACATGATATCTATTAGTGTGATTTTTGGATTAATGAGTATGGTCCCTAATCTTGAACTTTTCCTCCCAACATTTTGCTATGAAAGTATTTAAAAATATAGAAAAGTTGAAAGAACTATAGAATGAACGTGCCTAATACCCGGCACCTAG